GATGAAGGGAATGTATCTAAGTTTCAGATGTTGTAAAGTATATAAAGATTTGCCTACAAGACCGGAAAAAAATTTAGACTGATCTTTATAAGTTAAAGAAATGGACTGAAAGTAATATAATGAAATTTAGTGGAGAATAGGAAAAACTAGATTATGGGTTTTTAAAATATGATAGCCAGTTTGCTCTAGTAGTTAAAGGACAAGGCTAGAAACTAGGAGACTGTGAATTCTAGTCCTGCCTTGGTCATGAAAGCCAGCTTGGTGACTTTGGACCAGTCATTCTCTCTCAGCTCACCCCCACCCCCCCACCCCGCCCTCACAGGGTTGCTGCTGGAAGGAAATTAGGAAGAGGGAAGACTATTGTGTATGAGTTACTTATAAAAAAATATTTATAAAATAATAAAGACATAATATAAATAAATAAAATAAATATTTGGTTTACTAATAGTATTTGTGAAAAGGATCTTGGAATTATGAATCAGTACTGTTAGAAGTCTCCTGAAAAGGCAAAGGCAAACTTTGGTTGCCTCAGTGGACTGATAATAGCAGTAGCAATAGGACTTAAACTTATATACCACTTCACAGTGCTTTACAGCTCTCTCTAACTGGTTTACAGAGTCATCATATTGCCCCCAATATCTGGGTCCTCATTTTATCTTCCTTGGAAGGATGAAAGGCTGTATCAACCTTGATCAAGCACTGGTTCTAGAATATATTGCTTTGGTCATAATCCACCATAAGTACCATATTTAGTTCTGAATATCACACTTTAAGAAATATTCAGAAAAAGTATGAGATTCAGAATTAGACAATTATTTATGGGACCTGAAACTAAGTATTACAAGTAGAAACTGAGGGAATTGAATACATTTAGGCTTGGAAAAGTTAACTGAAGGGTTGTTAGTCAGCTACTACTTGAAGGGAAGTCACATAGAAGAAAGACAAGATATGTTCTGGATTCTGTAGATCAGAATATTGAATAATGGACATAACTTTTAAAAGAGCAGATTCTGTGTGAATGACAGGAAAACCTTCATAACAGTGCAAGCAGTTTGAAAATAGAATTAAACAGTAAGGGAGCTGGTAAGGTCCCTTTCGATGAATTTGTTTACACAAAGACTGATCATTCATTTATGAAAGATAATTTAATTCAAAATTTTAATGAACCTGGGAATGAATTAATTAAGTAAAATATCACTTTTTATTATATTAGTTTTCCTGTAAACCAGGTGGGATGAGGGTACAGTTTGGTTCATATAAAACACAAACCTATACTATGACTTAGTTTTATTTTAGCATGCATACTGCAGGTCTGACACCAATCTCCTGCCAGCATTATGATATATGACTTATTGTTATTTATATCTCATTCAATGAATTATATATGAGCATTAGCCCATAAACATAACCATGAGAGAAGTTATGACTATCAATATACATTCCAGTAATCTTCTGTTGGATAGCTACATGAGAATGCAAAGTCCCATTATATACCATTTCCAGACTGTACCTGTTGGCATCAGTGCCATGGCTTTTTTTCCCCATATGTACCTTATAATAGTAAAACCTCATGTTTTCCAGTCTGCAATTTACTGTATTTCTGTCCAAACAGTTCCTCCAACCTTATTAGAGCTACTTAAATATCATCAATAATCCTTCATCTTGCTCTGATTTCTAGTGATTCTATTCTATCTAAAGCTATTGTAGGTTATAGTTGAGCAATATTTACAGCACAATAGACTTTCTATTCCTGATCTGTAAAATTTTTGCAACCAGCTAAGGTAAACTTGAATGAAAATAATATGTTCCTTACGTTACCTTTTGGAAGTTCTTGGCTACTGGTTCCAAAAAATGCAAAATTTCTACTCCATATTCTATTTCTTAATTCTTTGCTCTTAGTTGCTCAGAACATGCCAGTCATTGAACCAAAGACTTAGAAGAGATGGAAATGACTCATTATAAATGTACAATGCAGGCTACACAAATCTTCCCAACTTTTAAAAATAAATTAAAAATGTACCATAGCAATTACTCTGCTAACTTCAACTTTAAACATAACTTGCATTCTTAATCTGCCATGGAGGAACAAACTCCTGTGATCTCATTATTGTTTTTCCCCCACCTTCCTCTATATATAGCTTTTATGCTTTTCTTTGTCCATATTCCTTTTCTAAGAAATAAGCTGTCAAACTACACCACTTTTATTGGAAAATACATGTGTAGTTTGTGATAGCTAAATCAATATGACTGTTCTTCTGATTTATGGTGAATTCTTATAGAGAAGCCTGAAAGAAATACTAAATTTTTGTGCTGTAATGAAACTTGGCATTTGACTGCCATTAAAAAAAAATAGCCCTTAATTCTAGTGCCTTTAGGCATTTTTACCTAGCACGTTTGGCATTTATATAGCAGATTATCAGAAGTGTCCTGGACTATGGTAGCTGTGTAGGAGTCATAAAAGTGTTTTCATTTAACTGAACTGATTTTAAAGCCCCTAATCATATTGATGTCCATATCAGGTTGAAACCAACCCAGTTTTTGCGAATGACTTAAAGGATTTTTATCTGAATCAAAAGTCATCTCATTTTCCACTGAAGCAGCTAAGTTATGGTGTACTATGTGAAAGTCAACAAGGTTATAACTAAATTCTGTGAAAGAAAGGGCTGAGAAATATATAACCCAAACAGATTTTTAAAAGATAGGAATGTCAACATGTATAAGTACCTACCAGCTGGTATAGGTGCCAATGCTGCCCTATATTGTGGGTAAATGTAAAGTAATATCTCCCAAACCTCTGTCTTATGATCATCTCCTGAGGTACTCAAAGTGCCTAACATAAAATTTCCAGTTTTGGAACTGGTAGTAATGATATATCTACAAACATAATGTAGAAGCATGATGTAGGAAATTATCAATATCATGATGTAGGGTTTTTTCAGAAGATTTGTTGTTTAACAATAGGGATAACTAATAGAGAATTGTATCCTGAAATAGTGTAGGGCAGTCAAACTCGATTTCATTGAGGACTGCATCAGGGTTGTGTTTGACCATGGTGGACCTGGTTGCATGTGCCCAAGATGGGCATGTCCAGCTCAACATCACTCATGTTGGGGGTCTCTGTGTTGACCTGAGCACTCTGCAAGCAAAAACAGGTTCCCGAACTGCATTTTCAGATGTGACAGCCTCTTGCAGCCCTCTGTCAGAGAAAACAGAGCCTAGGCAGGCCGTGCATGGCCCTCTTGAGCTCCATTTTTGCTGGCAGATGCACCATGGGCCGGTCCTTCACTGTTTCCAGGGAGGCCCTGCGGGCCAGATCTAAGCACCTCATGGCCCGGATCTGGCCCCTGGGCCTTGAGTTTGACACCTCTGGTATAGAGTTTCCTGCTCGAGCAGGGGATTGGATGAGAAGATCTCCAAGGTCCCTTCCAACTCTATTATTCCTATGTCATCAGTACCATGCAGTATTGGTGAGGTGTTCAATGCATCTAAGCAACTATAATTAAAAGCAAGAATATTTGACTTGAGAGATGCCTGATCCAGCAAAAATTCTGGTATTTGTACGCCCATACGCTCATCTAAGAAAATTGCATCAAAAAATTAACATGAGATATAAGAGAGAGAAAGAAAAAAAGCAAATGAAAAAATATGCATTCAATAGGTTAGAATATTCAATATTGAAAGCTACTTTATAGAACTCACAACAATTTGGATATATAGGTGCAAGTATTTGCATCTGAAGATCTATTAAAGCTCTGGAAATAAAAGAAATAAAAAAGAACAAATGAAGAGTTATTCTAAGAATATAGTATTTCACATAGCAATTATATTCAAATTCAAATGATACCTTTTTTAAAGTTACTCTAAACAATGTTTCTGCTGTGTTGGCCACAGCTTGCTTTGGCTGTGATCATGACAAAATATTCTGACAACACTCCAAATAACCAAAGAACCCACATTAACCTAAAGCTAAAGATAGTTTCCATCATATTTCAAAGTCATTATAAAATCAAAGATTTGTATGCTGGAAAAGTCTGCAAACCTCTTAAAATGTTGATGGACTATTTTAGGCTGCTTTCTGCAGCATTTCACAGAGTGGAAATAGATGAGTACCACCATCTGAACTGAGAAACAGGTATAACATATGTTCAGCCACATTCTTGTGAAGCTACTGATTTTCCTTTGCTCTCTTCTTGAGCTTTCAAAAAGCAACTTTATATCCTATTTTACATTGCTGTTTCTATCTGATATTAGCTTTCAGAAGGAAACTTGCACCTGTTTCGCTAGATGTTTTTTTGAAAAGAAGCCAATTTATTTTTATATGTACGTTTTCAAGTTTATTCATGGTGAGTGATGGGTCTTATTTATGCAACTTTCAGAGTGCTTGTCTCAGGCAAATTTAGAGATATAATTAATCACATGGGAGTGCTGCAGCTTAACAATTTTCTTTTCTCTTGATGAAGTCAACTCCTCCAGATATCACCCAGTTTTATGTTTAGAAATGGGAGCTTTTGTACAGAAGATTTACTTTGGCAAACACATTTTGACAGATAGCTCTTGATCAGCAATGTCAGGCTGAAGGTTGCTCCCACTGAAGCAAATATAACTGGGGTAATTTTCTGATGATACAAAATCATGCTATCTGGAAGATATATTTTGATAAGACTCCTGCCATTTACTGGAGGTTATTCCTTGCCGTACTGGGAATAGCACAAAACACGGCAGTGGCCCTTTTAAATCAAGTATGGAATATGCAGCCATGTCAGATAACTTGAATTATGAAGGACAGGAGCTGAGGTAGGATATAGGTCATTTCTTATTCTTTTTTTTCAACAGGAAGGTATGATCAACATTATCAAAAGTGAAGTAGCTATTATTAGCAGATAAGACAACATGTGTTTTG